ATTCGCTAGCAAAGTTTGCGGTTTCGTATGTATAGTGGAATTAAATCCAGCAGGAAATTGTCTTTGGTTCGCTGCTTAGGCTTGAGACTGGGCGGAAGAAGGATCCTATTCTTTTTTTTTTCTGTATTCATGATTCAATAATTTATATTATACAATACTTAAATCACAATAACAATACTTGTGGCCCCTTATTTCAATGGGAAAAATTCGTTTCATTTCCTGCTTTGTAATTCTTGAAGTTCATTAGTATTAGGATAATAATTAAGTATTAGGACAACTGGTCTGTATGAAGGAAATGTGATGTTTTCCAAAAATGATGTTTTTCAAATTATTTTTATTACTTTACTTGTCTGCGACTTTAATAGCCCCTAAATAATATTTATTTTAGACTTTCAGCAATTTCGTGCATGCCTTGTAACGTTTACTGCATATTCGATAAGTGTCCTTATACTTACGAGCCGAAAGTGTATATTATTAAGGGATGATATGAGCTACGCGCAGACGAAAGTGATTAACTCCAGGTTCTGAATTATTCTACATTTGAACTATATTTCCTTGGTAATTGCTGTGGAGCTAATCTTTTTGGTAAATGAACGGCTCATATATTAGGGGATCATAATATTAGAGGATCGTATAATCGCTGTGTCCAACATTATGTCCTATAATTACAATATTACAAAATTATTATTCTATTTATATTATCCAGTTACTATAAGAAAATTTTCGGTATGTTTTTTTCTTTATTATTAAAGCAAAGGGATTAGGATCATATGGAGAAGATGTGAGTTCATCAAACCTGTGGCATTTGCTTCGTTTCTTTCATTCGGTTGGCGCAACAGGACCGCCTACAGTTGCGATCCTCTAATTGTTCCGAGTAGTGTATTGTCTATATTCACTGGGTAGGGCTGGGTAAGAGGCAGAAGAATAAAGAAAGAAGGCCATTGGTTGCCTTTGTTCACATAATTTGCTAAACACTGGCTTCACAATCAATCCCAAGACCATTGGCTACCTCTATTAGCTCTATATACAGTAGAATAAGTTTGCTCTATACAGAGTAATTACTTCGTACGAACAGACAATTATTGCGTGGGTCACTTGAATAGTTCTTGAAGCGAAGTATAGATCACATCGGTAATCCTGAAATGTTTCGTTCATCCAATATTTTTATTTACTATGATTAACTGTAAAGTATTAAAAAAATACAGAAGGGAATTGGAATGCAAGGTTCTCAAAAATACTTTTACAAACGTCGGTCTATTAAATAAAAAATAGAAATGTGTAATTTCAAAATGATAGTAATCGTCTTTCCACTTCACTTCAAGAACTTTTCAAATGACCCACGTATGTGTATTATGTAGGAAAAAAAAAGAAATCGGGTACCATGGGACCGGAAGTGGAACCCAGTTCTTCAGCTTTCTGAACGATTGCTTCGACCAGTTAAGCTACCCTGGCATGTTATAAATTATTAAGTTTCTAGTGAACTGAGTTTAAGTTAAATTATTCATTCTGCCCTTATTTCTGTAACACTCCGAACACTTATCGAATATGCAGTAAATGTTTCGAGACATTACAAAATTTTTGAAAGTCTAAAATAAATATTGTTTGATGCTACAATTAAGTAGCCTAAAATATGTATATATAATTATTACGAAACATCACATTTTTTTCATACCGACCAAGTGTCCATATGCTTTTAGGAGCGGCAGTGTACGTCCTTCATCCTCTTTTTTTTTTATTTTGTGATAGTAAACAGTGACATAAGGTACCATGTGAAAGACCACCACACACCATCTTCGTTCCCCAAGAAAACTCAATTATCACGGAAATGTTACGTAACTCCTTCATCCTCTGAGACCTTCAATTACAGTAGACCCTCTTATTACACGGGCGACATTAGAATTATACATTTATAACCTATATGAATCATGTACTGAATATCATACATATATGGATTATATATGCGTATGGACATACAATAGTGTTCCATATTATTACAAGCCTGCTACAAATTGTAATAGCAAACGTTTGAAATTTCATTAACCCGTGTTTCATAGCTTTTATTTCGATCATTATTTATCATAACTCATCAGTAGTACTACTAGTCATAGGGATGTATTTACTCAGATATTTTACAACATCCATTCCAGTACGAAACTGAGGAAATTAGTTGATTTATAAATTTCTATATTTTCCAAAATTTCCCATGTTTATCAATCCGATAGAAATCGATATACGTTAACATCGGTAGTTCTAGTGCTAATATTTAACTGTAAGCTGTTACTTACTTCTAAAATTAAGTTTTGGCCAGCTTTTCGGGAAAAAGTACCGCCGTGCCTCGTGTCGAAATCCCTGAACCTGCGAAAGAACACCGGCAATAATAGCCCCCAGTGGAACCTGGATAGAAAGTATACAGCACGGCGTATCGCCGTCTAATTGGTATCGTAAAGCGGAATTAAAATGAAGTTCTAAGTCAGATTCCCCCAGTTATTCCCATTAGCCGTGATTACCGTTGCGACACCAGGCCGCCTTTGGCTTTCGCAACGACGACGCCTGTGAACTTTTATCCGCGCCGTGTGTACGGCCTTGCCTTCTTTGCATTAGCATCGCTCAGGCTTGCGTGTGTGTGTGGGTGTCATTTGCTGTCGTGGCTTGACAAACCTTTCACTGTTTTGCACCTACATAGACGGCCGCTAGACAGTCGTGCACGGCCAGACTTTTCTATAAAACTTCTCGATGTCGCCGCAGAGACGAGCGAACGAGTCCTGATCGATGAATTCCGTTGTGTTTCTGTTGGTGTGCGATTATTTCGATTTTTTTTTTTTGAAGAACGTTTCCCTTTGGAGTGGAACTTAGATATAGTCCGAAAGCCAGTGAACTTTTTTCTTACGTCACTTGATTACAGCTGAAAATTTGTGTGGTTTTAGTTAACTTAGTCAGAAATGAGAAAATCGTAGTCTGGCAGCTTGGACATTCTACATTTGGCGACATTATAGTATCAAAGTTGTAAAAAAATTACAAAACAATTTAAAAATTGTTGATTTACCGTAGCTTTCGACTAATATTTTGTCACTTAATGGACGGTCTGCCAGTGGCCGCATCACTGTTTCATGAAAAATGTTTTCATCACATTTTTTTCATACAGACCAAGTGTCCTTTTTAACTGTGCACTACAGTGTATAAATGTATGAACATTTGCAGTCTGTTAATCATTATTAAAAACGGTCCTCAGTTTGTTAGATTAGAGACTGATTAATACAATACGTGTAATCTGTAGATAGAGATCCCTGATCTTAAGCCGATCCCGCAAACCCTGGACTTTATTACATGAATTGTTTACTTTTCCTTTCTTGTATTCTCCATGCTTCTTTTTTACTGCGAATAGTATTAAGTTGAAGAGCATGGCAATACTCGCTGTGAACGTGCTCATAAGAACACATTATCGTGTCATATTCATCGACGATGCTAGATATATTTTAAATGGTGTCTGCTGAGGACTCTTGGAAAATTCGAATCTGAAGCTTTTGTATTTTGTAAAGGGACATAAACGGTATACTGAACACGGAGTCATAAATATATTTTACCGTTGATAATAAGGAATTATTAGACAATAATTGAATGTCAGTAATATTCTAAATATTATCAGAAAATAATTGAATGAAAATAATGTTAAGAATATTTACATTGAATTATTAATGGTAACCGCAAAGTGTCTTCGATCGATATAAGTGTAGAGGATAGTGAAAAATATTTATGACTCCACTTGATAAAGTAGAAAGAAATTCATGGATGATATCGAATCTAATTCTTGGGGGATGTTACGTTGCTTCAAAGAGAAATCGAATTTCCGAAGAGCATTTCAGTAGACGTCCCGATGTCTGGCCTTAGGCATCGGCCACAAAACGACCTTCATCCTTCAGCGATCTCCGCGATCACCTCATCCGCTGCTTTTACCTTCGCCACCGTTCGTTCCTCTTTCATCCATGGATCTTTCGACACTGTATCCCTAAAATTCAATTATGCATATTTCAATAGATTTTTTTACACGCGTTTTTTCATCATTTTTACATAATTCACTTAGTAAAAGTGTTAACGTTCAAAAGAAAGCAACACGCGAACCATTTTGTAACAGATTTAAATTTCGATCAATCATATTGCGTAGCCTAACACCTAAACTCTTTCATTATGTCATTCGTTGTTACGCGATGTCACATTTTTTCCGTGTAAAATGTCGATTATTCATTCCAACATTTAAAAAAAATATATTCCTATAATCACGAAAATATTTCTGACACCGAATACATATTGTATCATATTTTACAAAAGAGTAGAACATCCTCTTGAATCGTTCCTCTACCAAATTAGAGGGTCAGTCAAAATTACGTCGACTCCAGTATCAAAAAACTCGTTCGTTCCGACCAATTGTAATTAAATCCCGTTCACAATACATTAAACCAGAAGCGTCAACGTAATTCCGACTAACCATCCATCCTCATTCACCAGCACGAACGATCATCATCACGAACGCCCTCGTGCTTCGTCGCTTACCGACTTCGTTATCGCCGGTTTGTTTCGTTATTTTTTGAGTTGCTCGCCCCTATCCTGTTCCTACTTTCTGTTCCAGATTTCGTACGAACCGCGGTCGCACGGTGTACGAACGGCCACGCGAACAACGGGGACGGGGATGTAGCCGACAGGCCAGCCGGTTGACGCGCAAAACGCATCAAGGATGTGCACAATCGACCGACGACCGCCGAGAAAGAGAGAAGTACAGTGCCTCGAGTCTCTCTTATTGTCAGCCGCGCCAGCGATCAATCGACAAAGATCACACCGGCGGCGTGATGACTAGAAACTAGCTTGGAAAAACACGTTTCGTCGATCCCCCGTCGAGTCATCCAGTCAACGATCGGAAGATCTTGTTTTCTCCCCCCCCTCTTCCCTACCCGGTCCCCTCCTTTATTCGACTCGAGAGATCAAAGACTGAATCTATCAAACGAGGGAAGATGTTGGGCGTGAGTCAACCGGGAAACCCGCCCTCGAGCTTGCGACACTCGGCGAGCTTCTCTTGTTTGCAACGTGGCACCACGAGCGAGGGCCATCGAGCAAGAACCTCGACGTTATTGCAACAGCCCAGTCTGCAGTTGAGCAGCAGCCATCATCAATACGCGTCAGGTCAAACGTCCCTGCTGCAACAGTCCACCGGAACGGTACAGCACCGTGTCGAGGCGTTGGAGTCCCTTCAGGACAGCAACGACTACGGTTTCGTGAAGATCAGGCCCCGTTTACGGAGCACGAACGCGACCTTGTACCACGAGGAGGAGGTAGCCGCTCAGAAAACAGCCCTATGGGACCGGGACACATCGGCGTTAAGCGATCGGGAATGCGAGACGAACTATCGGGATTGTTCATTGAAGGTGAAGGATCGGGAACACTCGCCAAAAGGTAGCTCATCGAAGAACCAGAACCCTTTACGGGGTGCCTTGATACTGTTCACGTCGACATCTTCCTGGTGGAAGGCCAGGCAACGCGAGGATCAGCTGACTGGTACAGAACGTGCCCTAACCGCGACCACCACCACCACAACAACAGTGACTACGTCCTCCGAGCGAAAGTGGTCGAGCACCTCGATGGCGTCTCCGTCGAACGAACGTAAATGGGTACCGTCCGTGACCTCGCCTGGGAACGATCGGAAATGGTCGGTGGGGAATACAGGGGCGCTCACGTCGCCCGGTAACGAGAGGAAGTGGACCAGATCCTCGGTGTCCTCGAGCTCCGGGAGCGGCGGCCAACAAGACCGGAAGTGGCGGTCCCTGGGCGCGTTGCTGAGGGCTCCCACGGGTACCAGTTCGCACAGTGGAGGTGTACAGCATTCTTTATCCCATAACATGAGCGTCTCGATGATCGAGGGCACCGAGCACTTTCGGGACGATGTGCGCACCGGTTCTGGTTACAAGTCGACCCGTTACCAACAGCCGACCTCCTATTCGGCTAGGGTGTCGCGTGTCAGCAGGGACGTTTACAGGGAGAACGGAGAATTCGGTCAGATTGGACGATCGAAGGTCAGCCGTAGATTGTATCAGGATAGTAACGAGGATAGGGACGTGGAGGAAAGACGTCATCATCAGACCAGACATCAGTTAGAGGATGATTGTCGCGGTAGATCGACACGCGATGGTCTCTCGAAGCCAGAGTTAACGGATCCCCGTGTTACATCGACGAGATCTAGCAGAGCGCAGAGCTTTTATCTTCTGGATGATTTTCTTCGGCCACAACCACAACCGAACAAATGTATGTTGAATGTTTATTTGTCACCGTCGCACTCAAAGTCGGCCAACGAACACGGACGATCTGGCGAGACGAAGCAAACGTCGCAGGGGAACGTCACGAACATCACGCCGCCGAGGCGTCATAATTCTAGCTCGGATAGCCTCGAGGTGGCGACCAGCCCGCTACCGCCACCTGTACCGCCGCCGCCGCCCCAGGTGAACGCACGGGATCGTGACAGGGGCGAGAACGGGAAGGAAAAGGACGTGTGCCCGTGCAAAATGTGCTGGACCAATATGCAGCAGAGATCGTTCGTTGATGAGGTAAGTCCCCGCACGGTATGGGAACATCGTTCATGGGGATAAACGTATGATATAGACGGTTTTGTTTTGGTGCTGTATCCACCGATTATCGATAATTATTTATTAAAAAAATAATACCGTTAAGAAGCATCCTGCAAAAGGGCTTCAATTAAGCACTCGTGGATTAGAGGTACAACTATCGATAAATGTCGCAGAAAGTGTTCTACGTATCTGCATCACCGCAGTAGACGCAACCATGTATCGATCTAACCCGAAGTTTTTGACTTATAGGCTGTAAGTTACAGTTAGGTAACACCTGCAGGAGTTCTGCATTCTTAGACAGTGAAACCGAAGTAAAATAGTTTCGCTATATCGCAAATCTTTAATTAGATAGCAATAACTTTTCTTAAAAAAAAAAAAAAGAAGGTATTCGAAAGATGTTTCAATTTTGTTATATATTATTTGTCATCAGATGCTATAATTTCGAATCAAATATTTAGATTTTCTTCTCAAATATGAAAAAACATTTTCGACGAAGAGCAATTAGGGTGTAAAATATCGGAGGTTCAGAGTGCTGTTAAAAAACAAACGCGAATACAATTGGGCCAGAAAAGACCCAAAGGCCGTTAAAAATCAATACGAATTGTCACGATGCAATTTGGTATCACTCCCACAAATGCAGGTCGTGTATTGTCGCGGATAAGAGACTGCACGCGTCAACGTGATCCTATCCAATGACACTGGGTTAGTTTCATCGATGGTAATTTTCGCTAACTCGATTTGGAGACGATAGAATGAGCAATCGTGGACCAGCTGGTGTTGTCGTGTGGGATGACGGGCGACGAAATGGCCCACGGAGTATCAAGTTTCTGGATCGATGCTGAATACCCAAGTAGAATATCCCAATTGTTGAAGGCTCGTTGATCTTTCGATCAATGAAAATGAACGACCACTTCCGGTGAAAGTTGCTTTCGTTCGAACGATCGATACATTGTTGCGATCCGTTGTTAAAAAGAAGATTCGAGAATGGCAGGGCTATCAATTGAAAACGTGGGTAGTTTAGTATCGGGAATTGTGTCTCGTCGTAAAAAATTGGAATTTATTGGGAATCTTAGAAGATTGGTTCGAACATCGAGGATCATTCGAATGTGTAGGTTACCTACGCTTTTGAGATAATACGATGAGAGTTTCTGTCGCGTTTCATGCAACTCTTCGATGTTTTATAATGAAAATAGTGAAGTAAAGACTTCATCTAATAAATTTCTCCAGTCTTACAATGTAATCAAATTGTTCTCATTTCTAGTAGGGTTTCGCAAAAAAGAAAAGGTACAAATATATCTATTTATACAAAGAGAATGATAGTCACTTCCAGTTTCTGGAAGCAGAACAATAAAAATCGATGTTTCTATCGTCATAATATTCAAATATCGACAATTCTTTCTGCTACACAAGCTTTCAATTAAATTTAACTAATTCAGTTTCACTAGACCAAAATTAATTTTATCCAACTAATTTCTACATTTTCAAATATATTCACAGATTATTCTTAATTCCAGTAATTTCGCAAAAACCCAGTACAAATATTCTAAATTTAACTAATTCAATTTCACTAGACTAAAATTAATTTTATCCCACTCATTTCCACATCTTAAAATACACAGTTTTTACATAAAAACAATGATAGTCACATTCAGTTTTTCGAAAACCATAAGAAACAGGTGCTCCTGTTGTCGTCGATAAGAGACCAGAATCACGGGAACAACTGTCTGGTTCCATAAAATTGGCGGAGCCCGTGGTTCCGTCGTTGACTTGTATCGAATATTGTGAATTGGGTTGCCGCCCCTGACCCTTTATTTCGCTGGGTCTGTATCGAACGGGAGAGCCCCGTTATTCTTGGGACGCAGAAGGGTACAGAGTGTCGAAGGAAGTCGTATTTCTATCCTTCCAGTATCTACTCTATTATTAGTAACCGCTGCAACGACGGTAGACGGTTCGACTGGATTTCCGTTTCGATATTAAACGGTCGACGAGGTCGTATCCTTCGATGGCCGCAGGCTTCTTCTGCCCGGTTGCTCTGCAGGTGCCGACCTTGTTCACGATTTTCAGCACGTAGGACGCTCCGGTGGTAGCGCAATTTTCCCTCGACGCGACGAATTTACGTGGAAACTGTCTGGACGATAATGTATCAGCTGGCTCTCCAGGCGACTCACTGTCAGACGTGTATCCTGGAACTCGTATTCCCTACTGAAATATACACCGTCATTCATAAGTATTAGGACTGTGGATCTTTATGTAAATTCAAATTTTTATAGAACAATTTAGGGAAACAAATGCCCCAAATATACCCTTGAAATTTTTATAGACCAATTTAGGGAAACGAAATTATTTCAAGTAGTAATATTACAAAATTAAAATGGAGCAGATTTTAGGGCTAGAATTTAGACACTACGTTAATAGTAATGTATAATAGTATTAAATTTTATGGGAACCTTGATTTTATTGCATTTTTCAAGTGAAAAAATAAACTTCCGCAGTTTATTATTGTGTTGACCAATCGTTTTTTCCGTTTGGGTGGCCAGTTTCATGAATACATATACCTATACCCGTGGTTAAAGGTTTTTTGGGGGTTGAAAGTAGACTAATTGTATCCATTCACGAAAAATAGAGATACAAGCTCTGAACGGCTGTAGTCACCCTTAATGTCAAAAGTATCACAAGAATAATACTCGAATATTCTTTCCATTTCCACATTCTTGCCGCACAAAAACACCTTTATCCTTCAGAATAAACGTTCTCCCTCTCCACATTCGCCTTCCTTTTGTTACCAAAATCGCTTTTTACAAAGAATAATCCGCGAGGTCATCAAGTCGGATGAATCACCCCGTAAAAAGCCGACACAGAAAACAACCTGAAACAATAGGCCCAAAACCGCAGTTTAAGCGTCACGTCGCGTGACAATTTAATTCCAGCTGCCACTGCGGTTGCAGATCGCAGAAAACGGTGCACAATGTTGGCACCGTCCGACGATATTTTTATCATCTGCGCGCTTCCTCGCGATCAACTCGAGCGACCCCATGTACGCCTCAAGAGCTTTCAAGTAATAAAGTAAAAAAAATCTGTTTACAGACTATATGAAATTAGCTTCCGTTACACGTACGGATTTAAAAAGAAAATTATTTTTGTAAAAATGGAGTGCATTAGAAACAATGTTTCAAAAATTCGCAAAAAAAATGGACAGTCCTTGAATTGTATTTGAAAGCGCTTACTTTAAAAAATTCGTACGCGCGAGTGAAGGTAATTTTTAAGAATTCTAAATCGTTTGAATAAAAATTGACAGTTATTTTTTTTTTACCGACTGAGACGCGACTTTAAGGGATGAAACCACCCCTCGAAGTTTCGATCCGAAATTTTGTTGTTATAAAGAAATTATATTTTGGACAATTTATTAGCACTATATTATTCTACATAAAAAACCGCAAACCTTGTCCATTAGAAGTCTTCATATATCTCCTCTGGTTTTCGAGATAGTATTTTCGGGTCGAAACTTCGAGGGGTGGTTTCACCCTTTAAAATCGCGTCTCAGCCGATAAAAAAAAATACGTGTCCATTATTTTTGACTGCTGAACATACATACGAAGTTTCATCAAAGTCAGAGGGGGACACTTCTGTGCCTTTCCTTGTAAGTGTACCACAAACGTCTATGAGGCGTTTAACTCCGAGGGCCTTTCCTTCGTTCGTTCACGCTCGTTTACTCGTAGCTGGGGTTCCCTTTTTTTCTTCATTCTTTGGTCCCTCCCCCTTTGTAATATCAAGACGCGTCCTAGGTCAGGGACGCGTAACCTACGCATCCGGCGCCCGAACACATAGTGCTTCATCCAGCGTTCGAAACACAGTGTGCCACGGACTGTTGGCCGTTGGATTCAACGTTCTGCCACGGCAAATTGCTCTGTGTTTTTCTGCTCCTGTCCCGGGAATGTGGCGTTAAATCCTGTGTTCCGCGATTCCAGGTTTCGCGAACCGCCGCGACGTGTCTAACCCTCCCTTTCGTTCGTTATTATTACCGTCTGTTGATCGAGTCCCATGAATCGCGGTATTCTCGAGCAATCTTTTGCGTCCAGAATTCGTGAAGGGTGAAAGTTTCAAGGGTTCTTGGATCGTATGTTGCGCGAACAGCTCTCCTGAAAGAGACGTTCGTCCCGTTCTCCGTCATTTTGAAGGTGAAGAAAACGGCGGGAAAATGTTTCGAATTAAAACCGTTTATTATTTTTTTTTTAGTAACAGGGATTGGTACGATGGTTAATCTTTTGCCTGTGAACAACGCCTATAGGCGGTCAATGAAAGATATACAGGGTGAGTCAATAAGAAATACTGTCTAAAAGAACTCGTTACCTATTGGCTGTGTCAGAAAACGTTTTCATGAATTATGCAGCATTCTAAGGAACGCATCGGATGGATACAATTTGATTTTTCTATATCTTATTTTTTTATTATATCAAGGTGATCTTGGGGGGTTTTTTTTTTAAGGTTAATGCATCTTTTTTTAATACCACGTCGTCGATGGAGGAACGAATTTTGAGACCTATAACATGAATGTATAATATAAAAAAGAAGATGCATTGACCTTGAAAAAACCCAGTCACCTTGATGTTTTAGAAATGTAAGGTATAAAAAACCAAATTGTATCCATCCGATACGTTCCTGAAAATCCGATATAGTTCATTTAACACGTTGACTGCCACAGTGAAAAAAGACCGTACGTAGTCAGACGCGTTTTTTTTTTTAAGTCATAAGTCGTGGAAAATATCTACGTTCAATTAATAAAGGTTGTTGGTCTTCCGTTAAATTGTACTGCGATATTCATTTTACGCAAAATTTTGTAACGGTATTTAAATGATCCAGTCTTCACTTAAAATGGCGGAGGATGTTTGAGAAAGAGAATGAATATTCTTGGGGTAGCCAGAGCTTTCAGGGTCTTTCAAGTTTAACAAAGATCCAGTGAATGGATTGTTCGATTTGCCGGGACCATTTATACATTCATTGTGTCGTTGATAAAAAAAGAAAAG